CGCTCTACCACTAAGCCAAACCGGTTGCAGCCGGGATTGCAGTTTTTAAAAGGATAAGCAGATAACTCTGCCCAGTGTGGCTCAGTTGGTTGGGGTTGTGGGTTCAATTCCGGGTCAGGCACATACCCAGGTCTTGGGTTCGATGCCAGGTCGGGGTGTGTACAGGAGGTGACTGGCTGATCGATGTTTTTCTCTCACATGGATGTTTCTCTCTCTCCCTCTCCCTTCCTCTCTCTCTAGAATCAATGGAAAACACATCCTCAAGTGAAAAACAGAAAAAGAACAAGCAGACAGGTCTGAGCAGGTGAAATCTGCGTGAACATTCCAAGCATGTCCTCAGGCGAGTAGTGGAGACCTCTGGCAGATGCAGGCATGCAGATGAGCCCTGGGGTGGACACATGCCCAGGGTGTGGTAGGTCCCGCACAAAGGCCACACTGGCTGGGGAGTGAGGCAGAGAAGTATGAGATGGTCCCAGAGGGGGCTAGATTGTGTAAGGTCTTGCAGACAAATGGAAGGCCTGTGGCTGACAGTGAGTGAGATGGGGCGTGATGAAATCTGGCCTATGTGGTCCAGCTGCTGGATTAAGAATTAAAAAAAAAGAAACAAGAATACACTACAGGGCAATAAGGGTAGAAAAAGGGAGACAACCTAGGAGGTTCCTATAATAGTCAGTACAGATGGTGGTGGTTTGGACAAGAGTGGGAGCCGGATTTGCTAACAGGCTGAATGGGAGTGAAAATAGAGGAGTCAGTGATGAGTCGAAGGTTACTGGCCTGAGCAAACAGAAGGAGGGAGTTACCGTGTCTGACATGTAAGGACTGCCGAGAGAGGAGTTTGGAGATGGGTGATGACCAGTTTTAGATGAATGAAGCTTGAGATGCCTATTAGTCATCAAGGAGGAGAGGCCAAGTGACATTTGGGTATTTGATTTGGAGTCCCAATTAGAGAGCTGAGAATCATCACATAGATGCCTTTTTTTTTTTAAGTTTCTTTTTCATAGAGAATTTCAAAGACATACAAAAATAGAATAGCACAATTGCCCTGTATCCATTACTTAGCTTCAACAACCATGCTTCTTGCTGTTTCTAGTACTTAAAGCCTTGAGATTGGATGATATCACCAAGGGAGTGAGGTGGTAAGAGAAGAGGGGGACCAGGTCCTGGATCACCTCAACATTGAAAGTTGAGCAGATGAAGAGGAACCAGCAATGGAAGCTGAAAACAAACAGGCAGTGAAGTAGGAGGAAAACCGGAAGCCAAGTGAAGAAACAATTCCCAAATGACAATTTTTTTTTTAATTGTTGTTAACACTCACCCAAGGACATCTTCCTATTGATTTTTAGGGAGAGTGGAAGAGCGAGTGAGACAGAGAGAAACATTGATGTGTGAGAAACACATTGATTGGTGCCTCTTGCATGAGCCCCAACCAGGGCCTGGGCCAGGGAGGTGCCTGCAACTGAGGTATGTGCTTTTGACCAGAATCGAACCTGGGGCCCTTTGGTCCACCATAAGGGGCCGACACTCTACCCAAATAACAATTTAATTGCAGTGTAAGTGCTAAGGAAGAAGAAGTTGGCCATCAGTGTAGCATGAGAACCAGCGTAGTTTGGGGTCAGGAGAGGCCTCCCTGGGGAAGTGACATGGAAGCTGCAGTTGTCCCTCATCCTGTCTCCAACTACAACCCTGCTTCCTTCATGCTCCTTCCACTCTGACAACAGGACTCCTCTTTTCTGGGATGTGGGGGCTTTTTCAAGGACGTGTCAGCCAGTAGGGGGCACTGGGGACACAGTGATGAGAAAGACAAGTTCTGCCTTCAGGCGCCTTGACCTCCAGTGAGGAGACCGAGGCGTAAATGATTTCTTTAAAAGTGGTGAGTGCTACCATCACATACACAGAGTGGATCTTGGAAGCACTAGGTGGGAGCACATAACCCAGCTCAGAGGAGTCAGGAAAGGCTGCCTGGAAGTAACTGCTGAGCAGAGAATGGACACAGGCTGCAAACTCTGTGCATACCCTGCCACCTGGCTTGGAGCTTTCAGGTGTTAACCCTTCCCCACACGCTTGGATTCCATGTCTGCCTGAGATCTCTGTCCAACCTAAATCCTGACCTCCCCGCCAGGCTTTCCTCTTCTGAACTGGTCTAGCCGGGTATGCCCCCGAGGCCCCCTTTGTCCTGCCACCACCCTCTCGGCTCTGGAAACTGCCATTGGCCCGTGTTCCTGGAAACACGCAGGGGGCCAGGCTTCCATCATGCATTTGGGACTGAGTGGCCTAAGGACTCACTCTAGAGAAGATAGCTATCTGAGGACAGGCCATGAGCGCATGCGGGAACATCAGCACCAAACCGCGGCAGACACTGAAACCTCCTGCCATCCCGTTAAAGCCAGGAGGGGCGGGAACACGCTGATGCTGTTCATCCGGAATTCCCAGCTTTGTTAGCAAGGTGCGTGGCAGGAAACATGTTCAGGGCACGAGCCCAAAGCTGTGCTTCTGGCTGCTGCATCATCATCTTCCCAGCTCTGAGGTGCAGAACGCCTTCCCTCAGGCCAGGCAATCAAGAGGGGACGCTGTGCAAAGACTTTCACGCGGCCACTTGATGGCTCTTTGAGAAACAGGTGCAAGCAGTCTGTTTCGCAGCCAGGCTCTTCTTGCATACATTTCCAATCAGCGGCAACTGGCTGTGTTCTCGCTCCGTTATCCAGGCTTCCGGAGGCAGCACAGCGGACGGCAGCCCAGTGATCCATCTGCTCCAGCGCCCCTTCCCCTTCCCGCCGGCCCGATCGCCGCCCTGCAGCGGGGCGGGCACCTGTCAGCGTCTGCGCACTCTCCATCCACTCACCCACCCACCCACCCTCCCACCTATCCCCGGTGCCCGGGCCGCTGTCGCGCCGGGGACTGCCCGAACAGGGAGATCCCGGAGGAAGCCATCGCTGTGACTCCCGCGTCCCCTGCTGGCGTCATCGGCGGAGGCGTGCCCGAGCGGCCCCTTCTCCCGCGGAGGGCCCCGCCGATTCCTCCGATTCTGGGCTCGCCCGTCCCTGCCCCTCGGGGCGGGGCCGCCGCCTCCGAGCCCCGCAGGTGCGCGGTGTCCCTCTCTCCGCGTCCGCGCAGCCCCGGCGCGGCGCCTGGAACACCGACGGCGCCGGGCAGGGCGTGCCCAGCGGGGCCGGGGAAGGCGGGCGGGAGCAGGACCCCACGCCGGCTCTGACGCGAACCGGCAAGGTGACCTTAGCTGGGGACTCCCGTTCCCGCGGCATCGGTGTGCCCCCCATCACTCCGGGCAGGGGAGGCTGGAAGGAGCGCGCCACCCCCTCGGTTGCCCCCTAGCGGCACGCGGGCTTTGGGCCCGGCTTTGGGCGGGGAGTGGGGGGGTCAGGGCGCCGCAGGGTGGCGGGGGGTAGGGGTGGAGGTGAAGGGCAGGAGGCTCTCACAGACCCTCACATCCGTTTCGCATGGCTCCCCGGTGCAGTAGGATACCTACGCACACGCCGCCCCAAAACCTTGGCACCGGCCACACTCTCCCCCGCCGCCCCGCTAGTTTGCCTAAATCGGTCCAGACCTCACCTCCTCCGCGAAGCTCTCCCGGATTGACCTCATCCCTTCTAACCACTCCATCTGGCACATGCTCCGCGGTGGGTCTTTTTGTTTTGTTTGTTTGTTTTGTTTTTGTTGTTGGAAGTGCACGCGCGGTCTCATTGTCTGGAATAATAAAGTCCCCAAAATTCAGGACGCCCAGGGTGTTCCGAAGGGTGAGGTGGATGGGTTTCTTGCCACTCTCACCCTCCACGTTTCCCCACGCGTGGCCTCCCTCTCTCCCCTCCTCTGCCGGACCCTCCGCTCTCATAGGGAACCGCAGGTTGGGGTGCACAATCCCACCACCGCCCCCTCTTCAATCTGCACGACCGCAGGTGTGAGTGTGGAGCCTCCGAGGCTTCCGCTCCAGGGGGCCGCGGCCCGTGCTGTCAGTCCTCCTCTCCCCGGGGTTCAGGTAAAACGATGCCCCGGGAGCTACCGCAGGTTTGCGGGAAGGAATCCCCTGCTGGCGAGCCGACAGCAGCCTCCCTCCAGGAACCGCGTCTGTGACCCCGCAGAGAGGGCGCCCCGCACCGCTGCTCCTCCCGCTGCCCCGGAATCGGAGCCACGAGACCGGCCTTCTCTCCCGTCCCTGGTGCAGCCCCTTTCTTCACCGGCTGCACGACCGGCTGGGACTCAGTTTACTCATCCGAAAAATAGGGATAAGAATAGATGGAAGGAGAGAGCAGCAAGCTTTTTGTCATCCCAAGTTTCTGTATAAAAATCAATGGCCATGAGCGGTACAGCGCTTGGCAGCACTTAGCTCACCCATTCTGACCCCGCTTCCTCCACGGAGCGGTTTCTGGCCGGAGTCCTTGGCCTGCTCCCCGAGGTTACACACGGCTCACCCCCCAGGCCTTCTGGTTCCCCGGAGACAGGTAACGGGCCCGCACCCGCCTCTGCCTCCGTGTAGGGGCCGGGGTCACCAGATGACGGGGTGCGCTACCTGGAGGAAGGCTGGTCCAGGAGGCCCCCGGGTAGAGGACCTCGGCCTGGGGTTGGTGGGCGGGACTAAGCCGACGAGGGGCGGGGCTAAGCCACGGAGGGGCGGGGCTATGGAGATTAGGCGTCTCGGGCCCCGGCGGGGGGTGCCCCCACCCGGTTCGGTTCGGACGCGGGGCAGCGGGGCTCCGCATCTGGGGGTGGCGCTGCGGGGCGGGGCTTGGGCATGGGGAGACCGGCGGGGCGCCCGGAGGCTGGGAGCCGGGAGGCGGGGCCCGGGGAGCTCGCCCCACGCGGGGCGGGGCTGCCGCGGCCGCGGGAGCCGCAGCTCGGACTCCCCGCGCCACAGCCGCCGCAGACACCTCCGCTCCGGTGGCCCCGCTGCCCCGCGGAGAGCCCGGGGTCGGCGGGCCGCTGCGACCGGCGCGGGGCCGGCTCCGCCTTCCCCTCCCTCGGCGGGGCTGGACGGCCGCGGCGGCGGGGATATGGAGCCCGCTCCGGCCGCGGGGGGCTCGGAGACCACCCGCCTGGTGAGCCCGCGGGACCGCGACGCGGCGGGGGGCGGCCTGCGCCTGAAGAGGTAGGACAGCCCGGGCCCCCCAGCCCCTGTCCCCCGGCCCACCCCCTCCCCTGCCCCCGGCCCCTGTCCCCGGTCCCCTGTCCCCTGCTCCTGGCCCGTGTCCCCCGGCCCTGCCCCCCGGCCCCGGCCCCCGCGCACCCACCGCGGCTCCCCGGGCTTCGCTGCGCGAGCTCGCTCCTCTGCGGCCCCGGGGACCAGGCGCCCTGCCGGGTAGCCCGGACCCCGCCGCCCGGACCCCGCCGCCCGGCAGCCCGCTGCACCCCTTCTCCCCCCTCCCACCCCCGGTCCCGCGAAGCGGCCGCCCGGCCCGCCCCCCCACGCCCCGGACCCTCCGCCGCCCGGACCGCGCTGGGCTTCCCCGCGAGCCGCTGCCCCGTCGGGCCGGAGTCCGGCCGGTGCCCCGATGTCCGCATGGCTCCGGGGCCCGGCGGCGGGAGCGCTCTCCGCCCGGCTTCGGAGCCCCGGCCGCAGGCCCGGCCCCCAGCCGCGCGCGGGGCTCGGGCGGCCGCGGCTCCGGCCCGGGGTGGCCGGCTCCCGGCGGGTCTCCCGGGCCCCGGAGGCGGCGGGCTCCGGGCGGAGCGGGGGGCGCCGCGGCGGGAGCAGGTGCGGCCGGGCGGCGGGTATTCCCGGCTCCGCACAGACGGGGCCGGGGGCGGCGAGGTGTGAAACGAGGCGCCGGGCGGCCGGGACAGCGGGCCGGGGGCGGCGGCGGAACCGCCTCCGCGAACCGCCGCCCGGCCCGCCGCCTGGTCTCTCGGAGCCGCCGAGCCGGGTCCTCCTTGGTCACCTCCGCTGGCCATTTTGTCTGTGGGCTGGCCGTCCGTTTGCCGCCTTCCTCATCTTCCCCCCTCGCCCCTTCCCCCCCCCCCCCATCTCCCCGTTTCCCTCCCAGCCCCTCTCCCTTTGTCTCTGCGGTGGTGCCTCCTGGTGTTTCTGGATCTTTCTCGGTGGCGGGGCTGCAGACCTGGGTGGGCGGGGGCGTGCGTGAGCTGGGCCTGCAGACCTGGGCAATGCGGGGGCTCCGGCTCCGGCCCCGGCCTCGGCCCCGCACCTCTTCCCTTATCTCTGCTGCGGACCACCTCCCCTCCCTCCATCTCTCCACCCCACTCAGGATTATTTGTGGTCTGTTGAGGGTTTCAGAGGGCGAGGGAGAGAAAACCGCCTTCCCTTCTCTCTAAACAGCCAGCACCCCTGCATACACCCACACCCACACCAGCCATGAGGGCTTTGGGGCCCAATTCCTGCAGAACAAAAGGGAGCAGCCTGTTGATGGGTGGCTACCTTGATGACTGGCCGCACTGGGCCTTATGGGACCAGGAACGGCATCTAAACCACGGCCCCAAGGCCCCTCCGCCTCTCTCTGCTCTTCAAACCCGCAACTCCGGGCTCCCTGCTCATCTTCCTTCTCATTTGACCATTAGTCACCAAATCCTGCAGTATTTGCTGAAAGAGGCGCTTCCCTCCCCACCTGCCCCTCCTCTGAAATGCTGCACAGGCAGCCTCTGGCCTGGTCTGGTCTTGATCCCTCCATCTCCTCTCCTCTCTTCCTCCCAAATGGTCCGTCAGCAGGGGCATCTCAGGGCTCAGGAAAGATATGCTCCATCCATCAGGGTCTCTCTCCCCTTTTATGTTCCTTAGAGTTCCCCTCTTTCCCCCTCTTCCTTCCCCCTAGCTCTTCACACTTAGACTCCAAGCGGAATACCCTGTCATTGTCATTCCATGCGTCTGGCTTCCCCTTCTCCTCCTCAGCCTCATCTTCTACACCTTCTCCCTCTATGGAGCTCTCCCTCCCCTGTGCTCCACAGTCCTTTGTTCCCAGTCCTCCTGGCCCCAGCCTCTCCGGCAAACCGGCCACTGGACTAGACTAAATGTTACCGTGTAGCTGGAAGCTGTGAGGATTAGGCAATGTGGCATATTGTGGGCAAAGAGGTAAAGGGTAGTATTATATGTGACCGTGGTCGGCAAACTCATTAGCCAACAGAGCGGCAAACCGCTGGCTTAGTCAGTCCCTGGCGACACATCTGTCTCTCCTGCTAGAGCCGGCTTCGGCATGCATACACTGCCTGCACACCTCACTGAATGAGGATGGATCTGAGAGCCACCCCCTCTCCCCATCTCCTCCGGAAGCACACCTGGGATCCTACACATCCAGGTTCTCAGTCTCGGAAGGAAATGCCAATGAATCAACCTACCTATCAGCGTTTGGGTTTTCCCTGCAAACACCAAAGGCTCCCCTTCTTCCCTCACCCCTCCATTCAGTCGCTCGGCAGAGCTCTCCTCGGCCGGAAGGCTCCAGACACCCCTCGCCACTGTGCTGCTGTGATCGTGTTTCTGTCTGGAGCCTTCATGTTCACTCAGGCGTTCTCGTCCCCACTTCCGGGAGTGTTTCTAGGCCTGCACGTAGGTCCTTTATTCTGTGGAAGCTTCTATGCTTACTGGGGTTCAGGTTGGATAGCTAGCAGTGGGGGGTGAGAATTGGGCTCGAATGGACTTAAAACTCAGTCAGCCTGAGCTCAGCCCGTGGCACCCCAGTGAGGCCCTCAGCCCCGTTCATTTGCCAAGGGGGCCTGGGCACTGTGCAGTATGAGTGGCCTCTGCTGGGTGCTTGTGGTCACACTCAAGTCCAGCGAACGTGTGGCAGACTCCTCCAAGGCCGGTGTTCCTACCGCTACCGTGGCCAGCCACAGCCACAGCCACAGCCGCTACCGTGGGCAGCCACAGCCACAGCCGCTACCGTGGCCAGCCACGCCGCCCTCCCCACGACAACCCCGCTCTGGAATCTGGCCCTCAGTCCTCTGTGCCAGGAACCTCGGACTTTGTGGGTCCCAACATTCCATTGCCCCCTTAAAGGGCTACCCTTCAGCCCCATGTCTAGCGAGGAGAGGTGAAGGGTCTGGGAGGGGGGCACTAAGGCCAGGGTCGTGTGCTGAGTCCTGACACGCACTCTTACACTGCCTTCCCTTCACAGTGCCTCTGCCTGGTGAGCGCCATGCGTCTCTGTCCAGATCCTCCCCATCTTTCAAGGCCCCTCTCGGGGTGCCTGCTCCAGGGTGAACCTGATTTCCCTATTGGAATCGGTGTGTCTCTCTGAGCCCTGATAGCACTTCGCCTGCTCTGAGGGCTGCAGCTACCTCCTGGGTAGACATTTGTCTAATCCACCAAAACCTCTCAGAGACCAGGCAGGGCTACGTGTGATGATTTGCTCATGTTGTGTCTCTTATGTGCCTCTCCTCGTGGAATGGTGTATGTATGTCTCAGCTCTGCTACTACCTGTGTGGCCCCATAAGTCCTCTCGCTCTCCTAAATCTTTTATTTTTTTAATTTTAATTTTTAAAATCCTCACTCGAGAATATTTCTCCATTGGTTCTTAGAGAGAGTGGGAGAGAGAGGGAAAGACAGAGAGAAATGTCGGTGTGAGAAAAACACACCAATCGGTTGCCTTCTGCACACTGCACATCCATGACCAGGGCCTGGGTGGATACAAGGTCCTGCATGCCCTTGCCCAGAATCAAACTGGGACCCTTTGGTCTGTAGTTCGATGCTCTATCCACTGAGCAAAACCAGCCAGGGCAAGCTTTTATTATTTTTTTTATTATTGATTTTAGAGAGAGAGAAACATCAGTTTGTTGTTTCAGTGATTTATGCATTCATTGGTTGATTTTTATATGTGCTCCACTGGCCTGAAATTGAACCTGAAACCTTGGCATGTCAGAAGGATGCTCTAACCAGCTACCTGCCCAGCCAGGGCCTAAAGCTTTTAAAAGTGGAATTAGAAGGCAAGGGTATAGGGGAATAATTTTCCAACATTCCTCTTGTTAAACTCATATTTTAGTTTCTTCTTTGGAATAAAATAGGCTCAACCGTTTATGAAGTAACTTCTGAGTTGTAAAAACTTCGTGTTTTTTTCACTGTGTTCCCCAATTCAATCTTGGCTGCCATTGCCAGACAGAAAGCACCAGGGCCCTTTTTTTTTTTTTCTTTTTTTCTTTTTTTTTCTTGCATCTGTACGGGAACCTTAGGAGCAGACAGTTACTGCTCCAGGTCAGTCAAATAGGCGCATGCCTCACACTTCCACTTGCTTGAACAAGGTGTTTGACTAGCCTAGTGGTCGGCAAACTCATTAGCCAACAGAGCCAAATACCATCAGTACAACGATTGAAATTTCTTTTGAGAGCCACATTTTTTAAACTTAAACTTCTAAGGCCGCTTCTTCAACATAGACTCACCCAGGCCGTGGTATTTGGTGGAAGAGCCACACTCAAGGGGCCAGAGAGCCGCAGGTGACTCGTGAGCCGCGGTTTGCCAACCACGGGCCTAGACCATCTCTGGGGTGCTTTCCAGCTGGGAAATGTGTATGAAAAGGAAAGAAAGGCTGGGGTCTGAGTGTTCCTTTAGGCCCCATCTCGCGTGTGGCCTTCTGTCCACAAGGCCCCGGGTGTGGCCAGGCCTTGGGAAGGAGAGAGAGATGGGCCACATCTGACGGAGGGAGCCAGGCTGCGGGGGCCAGGATCTGAGAGCCAAGAGCCGGTCAGCCCGCGGGCCAGGCCCCCATTGAGCCGTGTTGCCCGCCTCAGTCTCTTCACAGAGCCCATGGAGTCCGCGCCTGCGGAGACAGCTTTCCACTGCCACCGGGACCCCCTGCCGCCGCCCGGCCTCACCCCCGAGCGGCTGCGGGCGCAGAGGCAGCTCTGTGTGGCCTGCGCCGTGTGCTGCGTCTTCATGGCCGGGGAGGTGGTGGGTAAGTTGGAGAGCTGCTCCTCCAGCCCCATCGTCCCAACACCTGCCTACGCCACCTCCACACAGAGTCCCGGGAGGTGTGTGTGTGTGTGGGGCAGGGGGGCTGGCACTACGGAGTTGGGTGTCCGGGATCCAGAAATGGGAGAGAGTGAAGGACAGAAGCAGCAGCGGAGATTCCAGGAGAGGTCCAGGGCCGGACTCTGTGATAACTGCTCTTTGCAAAGCCCGATTTTCTTTTTTCTTTTTTAAATATATTTTTTATTGATTTTTTACAGAGAAGAAGAGAGAGGGATAGAGAGTCAGAAACTTCGACGAGAGAGAATCATCCATCAGCTGCCTCTTGCACACCCCCTACTGGGGATGTGCCTGCAACCAAGGTACATGCCCTTGACCGGAATCGAACCTGGGACCTTTCAGTCCTCAGGCCGACGCTCTATCCACTGAGCCAAACCGGTTTCGGCAGATTTTCTTGTTATTAAGATGCCACGGTAGAAAAACTAGAACATGTGGATGAGGGAAAAGAAGAAAATAGAAGCATCTGGAATCCCATCGCCAGTGGAAAATCGCAGCTCAGGTTTCGGGGTATCCCCCACTCCCATTTGCACGCCTCTACAGAGAATGATTTTACCCTTGCAGGTGGGTATTTAGCACACAGCCTGGCCATCATGACCGACGCAGCCCACCTGCTGGCAGATGTGGGCAGCATGATAGGCAGCCTCTTCTCTCTCTGGCTCTCTACCCGCCCAGCCACCCGCACCATGACCTTCGGCTGGCACCGCTCAGGTATGGATCCTGCATGAGTCTTGCCAGAGGGGTACCTCCTAGGGTGCCGGGCAGGTCACTCCTAGGGTGCCGGGCAGGTCACTCTGATCACTTGTCTCCGCTGCAGAGACCCTGGGGGCTCTGGCCTCTGTGATCTCCCTCTGGATGGTCACGGGCGTCCTCCTGTACCTGGCCTTCATCCGCCTGCTGCACAGCGACTACCACATCGAGGGGGGCGCCATGCTGGTGACCGCGGGCATCGCAGTCTGTGCCAATCTGCTGTAAGGTCCAGGACGGAGCAGGCACCCTGTGGGGTTCAGGGCAAAGGGCCCTCCTCCCGGCAGGGCCAGCAGGTCCTCCCCTCCCAGGCAGACTGGCAGCGGCAACACTGCTCCTCAGCAGTCTGCCCTGGGAATGCCTGGGAGACAACGGGCAGAGACCGAAAATTCAGTCAACAGGCCCTCGTTAAAGGCCTGCTGTGTAGCAGCCACTCTCGCTGGGACTGTCATCAGTGTCAGCCCAGGAGAAGCTCCCAGCCACCCAGGCCACACTGCTATTTAAGTAGCAGGGCCGGCGTCTGAATTCAAATCTCTGGCTCTATTCTTGCCCCCAGGCTGCTCTATTTTTCTCTCTTAGACAATGTTGTCTTCTTCCTGGGGCTGGGAACCCAGGGAGAACATAGGAGGAGAAAGAGCTCATGGGGAGGTGGGGAGGGGAGAAAAGGGGAAGAGAGAGGAGGAGGACAGAGAGCGAGGAGAGAGGGGAAGGGGGGGGGTTTGAGGGAGAGGAGATGGGGAGGTGAGAGGGGGAGGAGAGATGGGGAGGTGAGATGGGGAGGTGAGAGGGGGAGGAGAGAAGGGGAAGTGAGAGGGGGAGGAGAGATGGGGAGGAGAGATGGGAGGTGAGGTGGGGGGAGAGGAGGCTGGGAGCAGGCCCCTGGGCTGAGCGGCTCTGCTTCCCCCTCAGAATGGCCGTTGTGCTGCACCAGGCCGGGCCCCAGCACAGCCATGGGTCGAGGGGGGCGGAGTACGCGCCGCTGGAGGAGGGGCCCGGGGAGCACCTGCCCCTGGTGAACACCAGTGTCCGGGCGGCCTTTGTGCATGTTCTGGGGGACCTCCTGCAGAGCCTTGGGGTGCTGGCTGCCTCCATCCTCATCTACTTCAAGGTATGATCCACCAGGCCTGTCCCAGCCTTCCTCCCCCAACTCCCCACCCCACCCCCTTCTTCCCAGGGCCTACGGCCTCCTTTCCCCACGCCAGCTCCTGGCTCCCCAGGATCCCTGCCTGGGGTCCCGGCCCCTTTCCCCTGAGCAGCGTTCTCAGGACACCCCTGGATCTTCCTCTGAAAGGTCCCTGCTGTCTGGGCTCAGGGCTCTCTCTTTGTCTCAGCCTCAGTGCAAGGCGGCTGATCCCATCAGCACCTTCCTCTTCTCCATCTTCGCCCTCGGGTCCACGGCTCCCACCCTCCGAGACGTTCTCCGTGTCCTCATGGAAGGTGACTCACACCCCACTGCCCCCCCCTTCGGGCCCGCTCTGACCTCCCTCCGGCACGGGCGCCTCTCTGTTCTCCGATGCGTGTGGGGAGGCGGCCGGGGCCATGGGGCCTCTTGCCGGAAGGAGGATTCAGGCCCAGGCCACGCGCGTTGTGGGGTCTCAGGCTGAGGGGGTACAGAACGGGGGAGGGGGAGTCTGGTGGGAGTTGTCCCTGGGCAGGAATAGCCCCAGGAGTGAGGCTTTGGTGGATGCTGCTTGCAGGTGCCCCCAAAAATGTGGGCTTCGAGCCGGTGAGGGACACGCTGCTGTCAGTGCCAGGAGTCCAGGCAACTCACGAACTGCACATGTGGTCCCTGACACTCACTTACCACATTGCCTCTGCACATCTGGCCATCGGTGAGTCCACCCCCCGCAAAACAGAGGTAGAGAGCCTGAGTTACTGAGATGGTGTCAGTCTCTCCTTCTGCCTCTGTCTCTCTGTCTCTCTGTCTCTCTCACCCTCTCCAAAGTAGTGCAGGGAACTAGTAAGCCTTTACAAGATCACTGGTACCTCCCTGGGTACTAGTTGGGCAAACCCGGCACCTCCACTCTGCGATGCCGCATATCCACCGAAAATGATGACTGAACACTGTGTGGCAGCTAGGGAGACTGTTTATGGTATCATGCTAAAAGGAAAGGCTGAATATAAAATTATCCCTACATTATGATTCAACTATTAAAAATATATACGGTGACTCACAAGCTGACAAAGGATTTTTGAGCTCCTTCCAGATGCAAGAAGCAATCAGAGACATGCAATCTGGATGCCAAAAAATATACTTTGTGGGATGTTGGACGAAGGCTCTAGAGGGGGAATGGGACAGAACAGTTAACATCTGGGTTGTCCCGGAAAACCGGGTGGCCTGGCTGCTGGAATAGAGCGGTATACGGATACTCCGAGAGCCGAAGAGAATGGAAAAATAAGAACAGTTTAGTGGGTTAGCCTGGTCAGATTTGGGGTGAGTCTCTCCAGCCTTTTCTGTGGCGTGTTTATGCTTTTCATACGACACGGAGAGCAAATAAAGCTCCCGGGTCCCCCTTCACTGGCCCTTATCTCCATCCCCGCCTGGTGCCCGGCTCCCCTGGGGACTGCCGTCTCTTATCACTTTCCCACAGACCCCACTGCGGACCCCGACGCCGTCCTGGCCGAAGCCACCTCCCGGCTCTGCTCCCGGTTTGGATTCTCCAGCTGCACCCTGCAGCTTGAGCAGTACCAGCCCGAGATGGACCGGTGCCTGCGCTGCCGGGAGCCGCCCCAGGCCTGAGCTGGCCCTGCCTCTCCCACTGCCAGGCCCTGGCTCAGCCCTAGGCGCTCCGAAAAGACTGAGCGGGGCCCTTACCCCTCCCTCCTTCCCTCCCTCCCTCCCGCCGCTGCCACCTCCCCGGCCCCAAGCCCCAGTGGGCAAGACCAAAGTAAGGGGGAGTGGGGTGGGAGTTGGGCTGAGCAAGGAATCAGGGCAGTGGGGGTTGGGGGTCCCAGCTTCCCTCGGTCTGGGGAGCCGTGAGCATCCTCTCCGTGCCGTTCATTTGTGTGTGTGGCAGGCCGGCCGGCTGGCTGGGGCATCGGCCTGTCTGTGTGCTGTTGGTGTGCCTCTGCCCGGGGGAGGTCAGCAGGGGCCCCTCCCCACGCGGCCCTCGCTCTGTCTATGCAGGAGCCCCTAAACTTGCACTTTGTCCGCGTGTTCTGGCCCCGTGGTGTGTTGTCTGTGTGCGTACGTGTGTGTGTGTGTTCCTTGGTGCTGTGGCCTGTGTCTCTCCGTGCCTGTGTGGCTGCGCTATGGCCTCTGTGAGTCTGCACCCTGCCCTGTCCCTCTGGGGGTCCGTCTGTCCCTCTGTTGGTGCTGTGCCCTGGGCTTTCCCAGAGGGAGGGAGGACCCCGCTGCCGCTCCTCAATAAACGTGTGTCTCACTGCATCCTCCGCCCGTGCTCCCATGCTGACTCCCATGCTGACTCCTCCGGACCGGAGACACTGACAGAATCCCGCAGTCCGAGTGACCTCCACAGCCCTCGAGCTCTCCCCAGCCCCCCCACCCCCACCATCAAATGTACCTCCCGGCTCGTCCCACCTCGCCCTCCTCATGTGCCAGCCTGGGCTGGAAGGCAGGGAGTGAGGGGCTCCTGGGAGTCCCTCCTAGAGGCTCCCCCAGGCCACGGGGCCTGCCTGGGGCTGGTCCAAGGGGAGCTGCGTCCCTCTGGGGGAGCGTGGTTGGACCCCAGTGCTGATGTGGGCTCAGTCCTCAGCTGCATGGGGCCGGGGGAGGGGCCGTCAGCCCTGATTGCCCGTCCTCGGGCCCAGGTTTTGGCTGTGGATACCAAGGGCCTCCTTACAGTTACTCCCCTTCCGCCTCCAGAATCAGAGAGTTTGACAGGACAAACCAGACTCACCGAGGAATTGATTTTTGCTTTTATTTATTTATTTATTTATTTATTTTTAAATATATTTTATTGATTTTGTACAGAGAGGAAGGGAGAGAGATAGAAAGTTAGAAACGTCGATGAGAGAGAGTCATCCATTGGCTGCCTCTTGCACACCCCCTACTGGGGATATGCCTGCAACCAAGGTACATGCCCTTGACCGGGACCTTTCAGTCCCCAAGCCGACGCTCTATCCATTGAGCCAAACCGGTTTCGGCTGATTTTTGCCTTTAAAAAACCAAACTGTTTGTGGTCTGACTAGATCTAGTGCTGCAGGCCGGCCGGAGTCCTGGCCTTCCCCCCATGGCTGATCGAATCCCGGCCCAAGCGACATTCTCTGTCATCCTGTGCGTGCTTCTGCCCGGCTCCCCCCCCTCCCCACGCCCAGCCACGGAAGTCATTTTATTATAAAATCATCTCCTTTTTGTTCTTGAGGCATATGATACACATATGCTTGTGTTTAGGGTTCCACAGAGGAAATGTGTATGCGGTCGAATGTGAATGTTTCTCCCTGTAAGCAACTCCCAGAGGTCGCTGCTGTCCCCAGAGCGCGTCTCCCCGCTCCTATTTACATTTACGCAAACACTTCTATTAATAGCCCAACGGGGATCGCTTTATTGTTTAACCTGCTTTTGTGACTCAGTCAGACACCCTGGCTGCACCTTCTCATATCCGTGCACACGGATTCCATTACTCTTTTCAACGGCAGGCCTGTGGGCGCTGGGGGCCGGGGCCGCTGACTCACCGGCGGCCGGAGGAGGACGTGGGAGGCTGGGCCCAGGTGACAGGCTGGCAGCCCAGCCGCTGGGAGCCCGCCGCCCCGGCCCCAGCTGCTCTCCACGCTTTGCTAGTTCCTGATACTTTCCCATTTTACGGCTCATTGATTGCAGGCCCCCGAGCGAGCTCCAGGATGGGTGGGGGTGGGGAAGAGAGAAAACGGAGGCTGGGGGAAGTGAGGACTAGATGCTCACCTTAGGAACAGCCCCAAGCTGCAGGCCCACCATGTGCACAGCGCTGGTCCCTCTGCGGGGGAGGGGACAGGCTGTCCGAGGCAGGGAGACCTCACCGAGCTCGCAGTCCTTCCACCCCACCCCTGCGCGATGAGGAAGAGGACGCTGAGGCTCAGAGGGATCAGGGCTTCCCCTCGGTCACCCAGGAAGTGCCAGGGGCAGGAGCAGAGTTGGTTCTCACTCCCACCAGGCCCCTCCCCCCCTTTTTTTGTGTGTGGGGGGGAGCGCTACAAAGCTTTATTGTTTCCATGTGGTCCAAGCCTGGGAGAGGGCTGAGGGTGTTGTTAAAAGGATGGCTAGTGGTCTCAGGGAGAAAGAGGCTCAGGCAAAAGCCAGACAGCAGGGGATGCAGAGGCCCCTCAAAGGCCTCTGGACTCCACAGGCTCCTGGTGGTGCCTGAGGCTGAGCCCGTAGAGGAGCTGCTCGCCCAGCCCAGCCCAGCCTGGGGCCGGCGGCCTGCGGAGGTGGGTCAGGTGTCGCCCATCTCCCTGATGAGCTTCACCTCCTCACCCCGGAAGTGGTTCTCCCGGAAGTCACAGAGCAGAGGATCTGCGGGTGGAATCAGGCAGGCAGGTCCATAAGGGCCTGGTTCAGGCCCCTCTCCAAGGCCGGGGCGGCCGCCACGCGCCCTGAGTTTTGCTCCAGCGCGTCCTGGAGGGAAAACCACACTGGTTTTGCATCTTTTAAGACACGCTCAGCGCCCTGCCCTCCTCCTCCATCTCACCGAAGGAGCAGCCCACGCCCTCCAGAGCCACGTCCTCGGCCGAACCGAGGCCCAGAGAGAGGTAGGTGCGGGAGGCTGCGGCGGCAGGTCGGCCAGGCGGTTGACGGGCCTCACCTCGGGGGAATAACTGAGTTTGGGAGCTCATGGTTGTTCGGCAACAAGGAGTTAAGATCAAAAACAGGTGTCGCTGGTCTGGGAGGCTGAGACGGCTGGTGTGGTTCCCAAGGTGGTGAGTGAAGGATTGGAGGGTGGTCGGAGGCCGGGAGAAGGGGTGCTCTTGGGTCTGTTCTGTGCAAACACCGCTGCAGCGAGAGGCAGAGCCAGGGAGGCTGAGGGCACTGCCCCTCGCAGGCCCCGTGGAAAGCGCGCAGCTGAGTTTCTGGGATGCTTCCTTGGCAGCCGGCTCCTGCGGGGCCCAGGGCCCGGGCTCTGGACTCTGGCCCCGGGTTCTGCCACAGCTCTCGCCTAGCCTCCCGCCACGGTAATCTCTCTGCCGTCCAGCTTCCTAACCGTGAGCAGAGGGGCTGCATGACGTGGGTGTGAGCGCGCCTGGTGCAGAAGGCCCGTTGGGAAGGGCTAGAGTTGGTGGAATCTTGGATGCAGGGGAGAGATTTCCGGGGGACAGGGGCGGCCAGCACCCCAACAACAGAGACAGGAGCCAACACTCACTGAGCTAACCCTGGTTGCAAGGCGCTGAGGTTGATAGCATCCGCACTTCACATACGGAGGAGCTGAGGCTCACATACGGGGCATGATGCTGATAACTGTCAGAGCTGAGATTCAAACTGGGTTCTGACTGCTCCAAGGCCCCGGCCGTCTTCCATGCCCCTGCCCCCTTCCCGCTCAGGGACCAGGAGCGTTCCCAGGGGGTCCGGGAAACCTCATCTGCAGGAGCTGCCGCACTGCCCTGTTATCTCCCCAGCCCACCTTTCCACAGCGTGCCCACGGCCTTTCCCTGCGGAGCCTTCCCTGGTGATAGAGTGTGTGGCGGGCGGGCGGAAGGAGAGGAGGGAAAGGACTGGGAGGGGGCGGGAGTGAGGGGAGGGGGAGGAAGAGGGGATGGGGAAGGCCTGTCATCCATCAACCCAGCCCTGGCAGCACCTTACACAGCTGGTTAGGCAGGGCCGAGGGGAGCCGGCAGGGGCGGAGGCGCGGGGAGCGGAGGAGGAGAGTGGTCAGGAGAGAGAGAGGCCTGTCATCCTGCGAGTGCCGTTGTCGGTGTGCTCACAGGAGGCAGGAGCCCAAGGCGCCAGACAGAACAGCCAGCTTGGAGGCTGCAGAGACGGCCCGGGGAATGTCTGGGCGGGTGGACGGGCCCGCCTTCCTCACCGCGCTGCTGACCTGGGTCTGCCGGACCAGCTGGCAGGAGACAGGCACACCTTTCTGTCCGAGCGTAAGGACTGAGGACCCGCCAGCTAGGGAAACCGTCCGTCTGGGGTCCAGAGGAAGAGCAGGGAGCCCGGCCAGCATGGCTCAGTGTGGAGCATGGACCCCATGAACTAGGAGGTCACAGTTCGATTCCCAGTCAGGGCACATGCCCAGGTGGCAGGCTTAGTCCCCAGTGTGGGGCATGCAGGAGGCAGCCCATCAGTGATTTTTCTCTCATCATTGATGTTGTTTCTATCTCTCTCTCCCTTCCTCTCTGAAATATATATGTAACTTTAAAAAATATATATTTTATTGATTTTTTACAGAGAGAAAGAGAGAGGGATAGAGAGTTAGAAACAACAAGGAGAGAGAATCTTCGATCAGCTGCCTACTGCACACCCCCTACTGGGGATGTGCCCGCAACCAAGGTTCATGCCCTTGGCCAGATTTGAACACGGGACCTTTCAGTTCGCAGGCCGACGCTCTATCCACTGAGCCACACCGGTTTCGGCTGTAATTTTTTTTAAAGAGGAAGAGCAGAGTGATAAAGCTGTGTCCTCCTCCCTCCAGTGACCTGCTGCCCCTTGGGGACTTCAGGCCTAAAGGACTGGGCCGTCCTCGCTGCCTCGAGGGGACTGTCAGGGGGAGCAGCGCCCTCTTCCCACCTGGCCGGGCCAGGGCAGAGCAGAGGCGGCCAGAAGGCTCCGGAGGGATCTCGGGGCCTGAGTCAGGATGGGAAACCCCTGAC